CGATACACGTTCCCTGGGGTACATAAACACGAAACAAACCCGTTCAAAAATCATTACCGTGCAAAAGTAGTGTTAAATAACTCACCGGACCTTCAGGATATACCCGTTTATAACTTATGAGTAGTTTCGATCGTCCAACACCAACAATTATTTTCCAGCTCAGGTTACAGTTTTAGTGTAATCGTCATTATGTACAAAACATCAGGACCTTACCCAAGACCAAAACAAATACATGAAATCCATGTAATTTTTATGTTCATTTTCGTTAACGTAAATTTCCATTTGACACCTGGAGGGAGCACTGACACAGCGACAAATCACAAATGGTTGTGTGAGAATACTCTGCATGACATTGAAGGTGTTCTGCCCTTGGTCGATACCTCGATATGCCAACCCGTCGGGTGCATTTCTTGGTTTCTTTTGTTGAACTTGAAGACTAAAAGTGAGTGTACCTATCCTAAGGCTGGTTCTGACCAAATTAAAACAATGGACTCCAAGGGTTGGAGGGAACATAGCCGAAAACCACCGAAAGAGCACCAACTCACGTACACTGTCAAGCGATGACGGCTTTTGTCTGACACGTCGTGTGTTTTTGGAAGCTTTCCAAAACACCCGTTGCTAGGATTGCTTTCAGCAAATGACGGGTTTAGCTTGAAAAAAGAAGTTCTTGCTGCTCTAGGGGAAAGAAACCAGATGCCGAATGAAAATAGTTCTCGGTGTATTATCTATCAGTGCAGGGTCGACCATGATCTTGACAGGAAGCACTGGAGCAGGTTGGATTTAATGCGAAAAGGAGTAACCTGCTTCGCTTACAAGTCTCTACAATTAACCAACTAAACAACTGTCTCAAAGTTCTGAACCGATCAATTAGCAAGTATCGTTAAGTTCTTAATTGATCAATTACCAACTGCCCCTTAAGTCCCCTCCCCCTTTCAAAAAGTTACTTCGTAATTTCTCAAAGCAAAACGGGAGTGATTCATAACGGCGGATGTCACTCTGCTCTACATATGGGAACATTTTGCCAATTTCGATCTGAACTGGTTGTGGCAAAAGGCCCACTTATACTTGTGGGAATTAATGATAACTTGCCAGAAAAGTACAAAAATTGTCGTTGGAATAACTTGCAGCGCCCCCTCTTGATTTTCTTTGTAACACAGCAGGCTAAATAACGACAAACCAAACACCATGGAGGATGAGTAATGGTGTTTGCGTCAGTGGTTTTGACACTTAACATTATGAGTCTCCCGACTCAAAGAGTTCCGAGTCAGCATCTAATCACCTGTCAGTTAATGGCAATCTGAAAACCTCAGTCTTCACCATGCAGCCTGACTTCCAAACAATTTCCTCTCTTAGGCAGTATTTCTCGAAATCTCGCCCTGAAAGACCTTCACAATAAGCATGGAAATTGGCAGAATCTTAATTTATGGCCGAGACTCGATGCAAAGGAAATTAATGGAGTGTTTTCAATCAAAAACCTGTTGAAGGAAACACTATCTTCAAGTTCTTGCGCAGCCCACGTGCATTCCAAGACTTCAACGCCTCAAGTCATAAAAAGTAAAGGGTCAAAGCCATTTGTACCCTAAACTCAGTAACCACTAAACCAAAGGAATGCGGTGATGAGAGGGCCCAGCCGCGTCGAACCTGGGCGAATACCAGCGCCATCTGCAAAGATTATTTGAAGCGCAACTTAAGAGAACATACTCATTAAACGGCCCCAAGAACTTTCCACTCAGGTGGGCCCAACGATTTACAGAAGAGACAGAAAGTGAGATGTGCGTTGCCATAGCGACAAAGCAATTACAATCTTGCAGGGTTTCACTCTCTCTGTCAGAAGCCAGTGTGGTATGCTGAAATGTGAATGATCACCACGGAAAATGTACCTTGTCCATATTGCATTACAACAAAAGCAGTGCATTGCAGGCGAATATACGGTACACTGAGAAAGCGTATTGAAAACATGGAAGGTGCATGCATAGCTGTTTTTGAGATTCAATAATAATCAGTTTTAATGTACAAATTTACTGAAGAGTAAAATACGCTTAAAGGTGAACCGACAAGAGTAAAATCACATGCCCAAAGGTCTTCGTTTGAATTGAAATTGTAACGGTCAGCAAAGAGCCATGACTGCATGTTGGTATAGAATTTGATCGTGAAGTTCAAGCACAGCTTGTATACCTATTTAAGTAAACGACGCAGACACGAAGACCGCCTCGAATTAACCGCTTGTGATTAAGCAATAAATTCCCTAACCGCAACTTTACTTAGCACAATTCCTTACGATGTAGGCATTTCAGATTCTACGAGGTGGGATGCCATCACGTATCTAGGAAGGCAACGGAGGCCCAAGTGCTTGATCTCAGCGTCAAATTCAATGGATTTATTTACATCTAGCACCTGTGCCATGGCCGCCAAATTAATGACTCAAGTGCAGGAGGTGAAAGACCGAGCGAGTAACGCAGTAGTCATGTAGGTCACTGTGTATAAAGTCTGCACTGAGAAGAGTGTTCGGAGCACTGGCGCTGGAACTCCGAAATTGCCACTGGTGGATCAAACGGGGACTACCCTGTCCCCCCAAAAGGAGCACAGTGTTTACGAAAAAACGGTTATCAAGGGCGAACCTTTTTCACTCCCTTCAGAAGCGTGTAAGAGCCCAAATATCTATCCTTACCTCTTGAAAGACCAATATTGGGTTGCATAAAAACGGATGTCAACATTTTTGGCCATTAACTACACTTTCGCTCCCCCGGCCCCCCATGGTTCTACTTCAAAGCTGCATCAGAAACTGACAGCGATCGGCCTTTGTTTTAAAATACTCAGACAAGAAGAATCCAAAATTACTTCGTGCGTTTATGAAATTATTGAAAGGAGGCAGCTGTGCATCAGGGATGACTTGAAGTGAATAATTATGTACCTGGCACGTAAAGCCGTGTCCGAATTATTTATGGCTACGGCTTGCAATTACACATGCGTTTATAGAAACTAACGTCAGCCGCTGGCCAGCGCTTTTCATATAGACACACACAATTAGGCTATTTCCTACCCGTAGCCTAGTAATAATTATGGGTACAGTCCACTAATTCAAGTGAGAATTTCTGGCCAGATGGTTAGCATTAAAAGTGCCCCCCACTGTATCTTTCGAAATAGGAGATTGTTTGGCCCCCAAAATGGTGAGGTTGTGTGAATCGTTGGCAGGATCAACTCCCTGGGTCTTTGAGCTTTCATAGAGCAAAATGGCTAAAAACTACAATTGAAAAATGGTTCTAAGTGCTCGAGAAATTTGAGGGTTGCCACTTGAAAAATGGCTGCTATCAGACTTCGGAAAAAATTACTTTTGGGGGGGTGATTTTGTTTTGTGGGAATCATTTAAAATCTAATTGGTTAACCCACAAAAATTGAAAAGAAATTCAAAGATAACGGACCAGACAATAATTTAATTTGTGTTTCAGAAATCTCTGGGGTGTTGGTATGCATATTAATGGCCCTGAATAGTGCTGATTTTATACAGTTTTCAATGGGGCTTGAATTAGTGGACTGTACCCTTATGGACCTCGCCGAAAGACATAAAAAGTGAAAATCATGAGCACAAAACCTTTGGCTATACGCCAAGTGAGGGCGCTGTGCGAAGGGAAGCTGATGATTCAGGTGATTCCGAAGTTTGTCGAAATGAGATTTAAAACCTTCAGAGTGACAAGTCATGTATCTCAGTGAATTAAATAGGATTCTCCTTCGTTTTCATGTAAAATACATACAGCCAGCCTGTCATCACGACCGAGCAGAGGGAAACAGCACGACCCAGCCAGGAATTATTCCGGGGCATATCGGGATCGAAACCTGAACCCGTCGCGCACGATTTCCTAACCTCGCGCTGAATGAAATATTACTCGGAAATGCAAGCCTGCTCAGTTGGCATGTGCATGATGTGGTGCTGAACTGGCGAGCTTGGTACATCACAATCCTTGATGTTCACGTCTAATTTAAACAGCATTTTCCGCACCGAATTATAAGAATCTCCAAAACCATCAGACACATCGGGGAGTATTTCGCCTGTTTACAAAGAGCGGTCCACGAACAGATTCTTGTTGAAGATTTTAGTCAGCTGCCAGACAACCTATTTCAGTGACCGTCAAAGCGTCGTAACAAACCGTCTGGAGTTTGTGAGAATGTTTTTAGTTATTCTCAGGCAGTAAAGTTTAATTCGGTTTAGGAGCCTACACCTCGGCAAGAACAGAAATGACGTGAATATACCCGATGCCGAACAAGTTTGCCCAAATTGAATATTTTGCTCATTTCAAACGATCTTATTCAAACCGATGTGGGTGCCGCGTTTTCAAAAGTTACACAACCCTGTTAACACTAGTGATTCACGTCTCTCTCTGCTCTTGGCTGGAAAGATACCAGTTTTCGTTGAAACTGTTTTCGGGACTAACGATATCAACGTGATCTAGAACCGGCCATCAACAGAGTAAACAGAGCAATGGTTGTTACACAACTGATCTGAGTCCACGTTCGTATCTAACTCCTAAAATAAGAACCACGCGCTTAATACATTTAATTGGGAAGTAAAAGCGACGTAAGAATAATATATGTAACCGCAAGCAATGTAAACATAGTGCATAACCTTCAGCTAAGATTTATGCTCTGAAAACCTGTTTGCTTGGCAGCAATTAGTTGTTGGGATGGAGCAGATGAGCTTTTATTCTAAGACTATAGCCACACAGAGGCTTGAGGTTATCTAAATGATCGTGGTTACAAATGACAGATTCCTTGTACAAGTACATCCTTACCATTGCGCGAATGTGAATCTGTTGTTTGCATACCACTTATGAACTTTACAAAGGGCTAATGATAAGGAATAGGTTCAGGCAGATCTGTATCTGGTCATTCCATGAGGTTGGGGCACAATTTGTGACGGTGTCAATTTTTACATGGGTTCCGTAAAAACGAACAGCTATTTCCCTGCACGTGCATTCCAAATTGACAGTGTTATACATTTTGCGAGGATGAACACAAAGGTGTGTGTTATTTTTACGGAGTAAATGACCTACCCTACAGGTCATGACTGACGGTAAAAGTTACCCATGTAACAAGGACACTGTCAGAAATTGTGCCTTAGCCTCATGGAATGACCCATCTTAATACAAACTACCAACAGAAGGCTACTATACGTTGTAAGCGTACATCTAAATAATTAAATGCATTTCCCCTATTCGTGCAAGGCTGAGGTCGCTAGGTTCAGCGACCGTAACAACACACAATACGTAATACACATTTCATTGATATCACTTTTGAGTGCATGTACTGACAAAATGGCGTTGGCTAAAATTGTATTGCTAATACGGTCATTTTTGACCTGTTTCTTTTTTATAAGAGTGTCATACGCACTGAACACTACTACAACACGCATCAGTATAACCGGTCTTGGTGATGTTGTTGGTGTTACACGTTTTGGTCCGGATTCAAAGCCAGTTTTGTCCATTTACAAGGGGATACCGTACGCAGAGGCTCCGATAGGCCAACTACGCTTTGCCAAACCACAGCCCAAACGGCCTTGGCTAAGTAACGGGACTGCTTTAGACGCTACCGAATACGGCCCCATATGCATCCCGGGCCTATTTGGCCAGGGCATGTACCGGACTCTCAGTGCTCAACCCCCGACGGTTTCGCAATCCGAGGACTGCCTGACGTTGAATATCTTCGTACCAGACGCAGTGGTGGCCGATGAGGGACCCCTGCCGGTCATGGTTTGGATTCACGGGGGAGGCTTTGTGACTGGGACCGGGTCGAACACCGACGGAAGCGTCCTAGCCGAGGTAGGACGAGTCCTAGTGGTGACACTCAACTACCGGCTTGGCGTGTTCGGTTTTTTCAGCACCGGCGACGATGCTGCACCGGGTAACTATGGTCTGTGGGACCAGCGGCTGGCCATCATTTGGGTCAAAGACAACATTGCGAGTTTTGGAGGCGATTCTGAGAGGATAACCTTGTTCGGCCTCTCAGCCGGTGGCAAGGGGGTTGCAATGCAGACAGCCACTCCGGTGAACAATCGGACTTTGTTTAAGCGGGCGATATCACAGAGTGGCGCGACGGACGATTCAGCAGTGAACTCTCCTGAGACTGCCGCTATGCGTTCTCGTCAACTGGCTGACCTCCTCGGCTGCAGCGACTCAATGTACTCTACACATCTGGTGGACTGTGTGCGCAGAGTAAGTGCCAAAAATCTCGCGGAGGCGTCGAACCAACTTCCAGTCGAGTTTGTCGATTTCTCTCCTTTCTACCCGACCATTGACGGCGAGTTTTTCCCGGACTACATCCCCAACGTTCTGACTGCCGGCCATTTGGGGCAGTACGACTTTCTGACGGGGGTGAACAGCAACGAAGGAACCCTGGCACAGTCCTCAGACAAGATCCCCTCATCCATCGAATCATACGAGCAGGTGTCAGCTATCATAGAGGAGCTTTTGGTATCTACTTTTTGCAAGTGTACCAACGCACGAGAAGCTGCTGATGAGGTGGCATTTTACTACACTTCCGAGCAAGGATCCTCGGACGGGCGGCTCAACAGAGGGGCCATCTTAGACGCCTTTGCTGATGTCCTCTACACGGCCCCGTGCTTGAACAACGTGAATCTCCATGTCAAGGCAAACCTAACCTCAAGAGGCAGTACTTACCTCTACTTCTTCCCCTACAGACCCGAAGACGAACCCTCGTCAGAACCAGATATCATAACAGGGGCTGGCCACGGTGCAGAGGTGCCTTACGTCTTCGGTGATCATCTTCGAGATAGTCCAGGAACCGAGAAAGGGAACCTCAGTTCACTGATATTGAGGTACTGGGCAAATTTTGCCAGGAATGGGTAAGCCGTTCATGATGTGGTTCCTTATACTTTCCCCTTCTTTTTGTAGACGTGTTTGAAAGACATTTTCCACTTGCTTGTTCCCAGATTAAATACAGCTGTACTAGTTATTATTTTTACCAATGATTAGGAATGTATGTACGACTGCCGAATCGGTTAATGTTATTGATGTATATACCCCACTTTAGCTAAGGCTGTCCTTTGTTCTTTTTTTCCAGAAATCCAAACGAAGACGGCATTCCTTACTGGCCACTTTACGACCTGGCAAACGAGTCATACATCATCTTGCAACCAGATATTGATAGAAGGCGGCGTCTACAGGCAGGACAGGTAGCTGCTTGGCTGGACTACCTGCCTCGCATCATTGACCCGTCTGACCCTAATAAATGTTCTCTAGATGTACCGATGCCGAGCTTGAACGTGAGCAAACACAACCGTACCAGGACGGTAGAGGTGACGAACAGAAATGGCGAAATGCTGGGTACTGTGGTTGGCGAGGTAAGGTTATCAGACCATGCCATGGGTGGTCTACAGGTGGCTTGTTTTATGGGGATTCCTTACGCTGAACCTCCTGTTGGTGGCTTGCGATTTAAGCCCCCGAAGCCAGCTTCCTCGTTGGGGGAGAAACCCCTCGATTTGAGGGGGAAGGTACCAGCAGCTTGCCCACAAAATACCACGAAAGATCCTTGGATGGCGCGAATTGGCTTTAATACAACATCAGAGGATTGCCTGACTCTGAATGTCTACGCCCCGGTGGATGGTGAAGATGATACCACGTTGCCTGTTGTGGTCATGGTCCATTCTGGAGACTTGAAGTCAGGGACTTCCTCTGTTTATGAGGCAAATCTACTGGCTTCTATGTCCGAAGCTGTCGTGGTGTCTTTCAACTATCGCCTCGGTCCGCTGGGGTTTCTCAGCACCGAAGATGTGGTGTCTCCCGGTAATTATGGTCTCTATGATGCGCTCGCTGTGCTGCAGTGGGTTAACAAGTTCATTGGAAGCTTCGGAGGAGATCCAACTCAGGTGACCCTCCTTGGACACGGTGCTGGCTCCATCCTGGCACACCTGCTTGTCATGACGGACGAAACAACACGTGGACTCATCAAGCGTGCCGTTTCCTTGAGTGGGACGGTCCTGAGTCCATACATGCAGAATCCTGTCCAGTCTGCTCCTCTGGATCGAGCAAAAGCTCTTGCCGAGAAAGTGGGCTGTACCACAGAGAAGTCGGAGGCGATGGTTGAATGTCTACGTCACAGGCCCGCTGCAGATTTGGTTGATAACACACCAGAGTTATCTTTTAGTTTTCCGTTTCCAATCGTCGTTGATGGAAACATTTTGAAGGAGTCTCCTAGTGAGATTCTTCAGTCTGGAATGTTCCAAGACGTCGAGTTTATCTTTGGAATAGTGCAGGATGAGCAGGCAGCACTTGCAGCCTCTTTTCTCGAAGATCCAACCAGATGTCCTACTGAGGAAGAAGTGGAGCAGTTGATTGGAACTATCTGCAAGGAATCCCTCCCAAACCCCGACGTGGCTTCGCTGGCCCTCACAACGGAGTACCTGGACAATGGGCGGCACAAGCCAGAGGATAAGAACTGTTCGACCCGAGGTGCCTTCAGGAGGTTTCTACACGACTACTTGACGGTAGCTCCAACTCTCCAAGCAGCCCTCCACCACGCATCCACAGAAACGCCAGTCCATCTATACACTTTCGACCACATTCCGATGGATCGCTACCAAGCGGGACTCCCACACTGGGCCGGCGCGGCTTTCGGGGACGATCTCCAGTTCCTGTTTGGAGAACCGTACAGCTCTCAACCTCAAGGCGAGTCCCAGAAGTCGTACAGGCTCAAGGATAAGAAAACAACCCTCGAACTGATGTACTTGCTGTCCAACTTCGTCCACAAAGGGTCAGACGGTTAATCTATTCTCCAAGATCAATGACTCAGTCATCGTGCAAATTAATAAGAGTCCTTTTACTTTGGATCTTGCTACCACTAAAGTGCGATGCATGACTGTTCTTGAGAGAGATTTTGTGTTTGTTTGTAATCTTGTCTCCCTATTTTTCGCTTCTTTTACTAGATCTGCGGGAGTTCCAAAGTCTGTGTTTGCCTGGCCTCACTTTGAGCGATCAGAACTTTGCTATCTTTCAGTGGACCCGTGCCCGGAAGCCCGCTCAGGTGTTGACGACGGTTGGAAACACAAGCTGCGCTTCTGGTCAGAGTTACTGGCGACCGTGGCAAAGCCTAGGCCGACACTTTCAGACACCACGTCCATGCCAAGTGATCCCGTATGCATCATAGGCACCTTAGGTCTCGAAATATCCCCTGAGACTGCAAGCTTGCTGATCGAGATCCTCCTCGGTGTCAGTGTTGCGATATTTGCAATACTGATGACCCTTGCATTCAGTGCTTGCTAGGCGGCCCGTCAAATGAAACACAAAAATCTGGAATCGGTCTACAGAGGGCTGAAGTTTTTTCCAAATCTAGGCACAAAGAGCAACAGTAAACACCATGTGCGCGGTATCAGTCTGGATACACTTCAGCCTTTGACTACATTCGTCTGTTTTTAGCTTGCAACCATGGCTGTAACCACTTCCCGTAGATACGTTTGTCACTGCCGACTACAGCCAAGGTTTTCGGTCGCACCTTGGTTTCATTATCGTCACACCTGCAGTAATAATGTAACAATGTCTGTGGTTCAACACACGTCTTGGTATGTCTGGCAAGATTCGAGCTGGTCGTTGAGGTTTGCTCCTTTACTAAAGGACTGCAGCAGCGACAAATGAAAGATTCAAATTGCTAACGGTTTCGACTGATTTGCCCTTTCTTCTGACCTAAATGCACTTGAAGCAGTGCCTTGTGAGCCGAAACGTTCGGTTTTTAAATACTCTTCTCCGTTTGCTTTTTAAGGAGCGGCTGTGTTGCGACAATGTCCTTTTTAAACAGCATATTAATATTGTTGTAATTTAGTCTTCGCAACTGTCTCAATAAAGGATGTGAATTTTGTCATAAGTTGGTTTTGTTTCCAGCAGATTCCGTGTAGACGTGCGTCTTCGAGAAGCAAAAAGAGAAGTTGAACGCAAGTTTAGTTTAGTTTAAAATTTACAAAAAATGATACCTGATCCCAGAGGGATTTTCTTGTTGAATCTGGGTCAGCGACCTGAAGTGTCTTAGGAAATGTTATCCTGAAATTCTTCGAGTGATACCAAGTAGTACGCGGCATCCGTGCAGACGGCAACCGGATATCGCTTGGCTAAATGTGGCCGCTTCCCCCTGACCCACTTCTCGACACCCTGGTGTCTTGGTGATCAGGTGCAGACAGCGACGGTTTCCGTCCCCGATGTAAGAAGAAGCCTGCCCTCAGCTCACCTGGCCTCACTGTGCCTGCACTTTGGGACTGCTGCGCAGGCTGTCTGGTCTCTTGAATCTGCGGCTAATTGGCCCACGTCAGTTGCCTAGTTAGAGGAAGTTTTTCTGCTGATTTTGACCATTAATTTATTACCATGCTTGGTGCCTGGTCATTCGCATTTCCAATTCATTCTTTGGTCGGCTGACAATCGAAAATACGCGATATTTCATGTATCCAATGAGGGGGTGTTGACCGGGTGTGCGACAGAGACCCTGTTATTTTGATTTGTGGCCAGTCTTGGGCTGAAGGGTGACTTTGACCATTTTCACGTGAACGAGCACCTGGGATGTTTGATGACGTGGATGCACGCGTGCGCTGAGTAACTATGACCGCGGAGACAAACGGACTTGTCTGCTGCCACCCAGCGATCATTAATAACATCTCGATTGTCCTAGGAGTGGTAAAATGAATAAACCAAAATTGCGTTTTCTGCTTTTTCTGCCATACGCCATACAAAAAGTTACTACAAACAAAGCTTATTACCGAATTTTTACAAACAAGAAATTTTTGATTGACTATTTTTTTTAATCAAGTGATGTTTGGTCAATTTCTCCACCTCTCGAAAGGTAAATCGTATTTTCTTCAGAGTTACTTAAGTCTCAAAGATGTTTTTATTAGTTCTGATTCATTTATATCTTGTCAAATCGAAGTACCTAAGTACTAGAGTATTTTGTTGTGCTGAAAGAGTTATTAGTTCCATAATACTACTTGTTTCTTTACATTTAGGTAATCCCCCATCAGATAATTTCTGCACTTGGATCTCACATCATATGGCCCCTCATAAACTACTAGGCTAGGTACGACCTGTCACCGTATTGTTAACGTGTGTCATCGGGAGCGACGTTGCTTGCAGTATTCAGTAGGTAAACATAGGGCCTAATCCGCCTAACGGCTCGTCCAAACACAGCTAATTCCCAGCCGATTAAGGTACCGTCTCATGATCACCTGGCCCCATACCAATGCTCCAGAGTGTGAGATTCAAAGTTGAAAAGGGGGTCAACATGACCCGGGACAGACGATCACGCTGTCTCGGCAGCTCTAGGGTTGAGTAATCGGCGCGACTAGTGTTTCCTGCCAGTGCTGGGAATGCAACCAGACTGTGCTGGCCTTGGAACCCATCCAGTAAAGTCCCGCCCGAATTTCCTCAACATTTCTCTTGACTTTTTGGCGAATACGTTTTTTTCTGTTATGTTACGCTTCATTTCAATTCATCTCACACTTTCAGAAATTTCATGTTGTTTCTAATTTTCCACTACGCCTTCGCATGCAGGCCTATGGTAACAAAGATAAAGGTTCCAGCAACCCTGTAGGCTGAACAGGAAACTTAATAATGGTCGAGCAGAAAACAACGGCACCATTTGAGTCACTTTGGTTTATTTATAATTACAAGGTGGGGGAGCTCAAATTATAGGTAGGCCTACCTAATTGATGTGAACTATTTTGACTTGACTTCCAGTGCTGTGTTGTTGCATTCACCAAAAGATGGCGTACTTGTCTGACGCAATTGAGTGTGACACCTGTGACGTAAGTCCAAACCAGCTTCTGTTTTGAAGAAATGGCTTCAGGGGGACATTGCCAACTACAATGCCATTCGGTTTCAATCACGTGTAGGAACGGCATCTTGCTTTTGGGGCTCTACATGGAAATGCTTACTGTATGACGGGTGATCCAAGGGCGGGTGTGGGACTTTTTGCATTTTCCAATGATTCCAAAGTAATGTTGGATCTGTTCGTGCTAATGATACGATACGAACTATTTGAACCATTTTGCTCTGCTATGGCAAGTTGTGGCGCAACATACCAACGTTTCCCTTCTTTGAATCCTTTGAAGAAAGAGCAATATCACCAGCGACGGCCGTCCAAGATCCTCTCACGTCTTGCGGGCCTTAGCATTTTAGCGGATGATAACTAATTGAAAGTGCTGGTCCGTGACCTTAAAACTCGCCCAACGTGTCTCGAAGTCAAGTTGGGCTGAATTCCAGCGCCCGACTTACCAATCATCAGCTCGCCACACATGCTGCTGCACTTTCCTCACCAGAAATTCGAATTTCCTCAATGGCCTCTCGACTAACCCTGGGGGATTTGGGGGAAAAGCCTGTGTAGTCTACAACACGATATTTTGTACCAAGGCTGTGTTTGTTCTGTAATGACCAAGCTAAAGTAACATTAGGCCCTTGCGTTCACTTTTTAAATTTGCGCTGCTTATCAAGCGAGCGGAGTTTGCTCCCAAACAAGCTTGTCCTTTGACCCGGAAGTTTCGTCTGGCACATGGCTAACTGTGACCCACGCCTGACCAGTCCTACAACTCAAGTAAAACACTGATGGCCTATCTAATCAGCTGTTCTCGGTTAAAAAGATACTTGCTAATTCTCTACAAGCCTGCTACTTAAAGGGTTCTAAGGTATCAATTCATTTGTGGGCGTTTTACTTTTCAGTCAAATCAATTATTATTGAGATTACATTCATTGAAAGCAATACGATGACGAGATGCGTGTAATTACGCGCCTGGAACTGTACAATGAGAGAGCGCAAAGCTGTTACGTGGTTCAAATTGAAACTGTAGTTTTCACATTTTCACCTGAACTGCAGCCTTCATCAGCTTATATTGAAATTCTACTTCTTTCTTTTCTTTTTAACCAGAATTGCAGCAAGTGTTTGCAGGTCTTCGCCTGTTTTCTGCGCTGACAGCGCAGACTGGGTAGTGCGGTCACAGCCAAACAGCAGCAATTATACTCCCGCAATAGGGCTTAAGTATGCCTAGGTCGAATTAAGCAGAGAAAGGCCGAGTCATTACTCGGCTGCGGCTGGCAATAATACTCGCGTTTATGGGAAATGCCAGGAGCCGCTAGCGGAAGGCTACTACAGGCGCATGCGTTATTTATTTGTTCACGACCACGAAGACAGATCAGTATAAAATAACACGTGCGCAAGACGTGGTACTCAATGCATTCTAATGACGACCCACGTCTGTTTGATACGCATTTCGCAAAGTGAACAAACCATTTACCCCGAAATAAGTACAGACAAAGTATACTGCCTCACACTCTTTAGCGCCAGGGAGAGATTTCTGGTGAGAGATTTAAGGCACACGTGGGGAATGAATCAATCTGGAGCCAGTGGCTGACTCACGATGTGATACATAGTCACTCTCACGGGACAGCTGAAAGTGCGCGATATACCTGTGTGTTATTTAAAGGCCCCATTTTAATGTATAGTTCTTGTCAAGTCACCTTGGTGTTACATTTAACCCTATTTCAGTTTTCGTGTTTACCATTCCAGGATATCTCGGTCCTATTTTTAATTTTTTACACTAATATGATTTTGCCTATATGAGCCAAAATATGATGTCACTTTGGACAGAAACGGCAGTGTCATAGCTTTTCAAAACTATCATGTGCCAGGATTTTGCATATATTTTTGGCGGTGATTCGTTGCTTTTGTATATATGACAGTAAGCACGTTTTGTTAATAATTTTGAGATTAGTATTGAATTTACAATTTGAACAGAAATATCGCAGAATAAACAAAATCTGAAAGTGAACAATGTGCTCGTCAAATGATATCACGACAACAGCACTCTCACTTGTCAGGAAAAAAACGGAAAATTTTAAATGTTTAAAATATGCTTTTAGAGTTCCGTATAATTATTCAAAACAGAAACAGTTTAATTTCCAACATTAAAGAGGAAATGAAAGTTCCGCGTATCACAGACCCTTACAATGCAAGTATATTACCCATAACAGGCAGGCATTTAAATTTAGATCTTGGATAATGATAATGATAATAATACCAACAACGTATACTTATACGCGTGGTATCATTATTTTACTCGTGAAACCTTACTTTTTTCAGATGGACTCACTTCTTCTTGTCCCTTTTTCCTTCCAAAATGGAGAGACACACCCATGGCAGCCCTACAAATATGCGGTTTCCTTATGACTGTGTCTTTCCATGTTTTTATACTATTTACATTCTTTATGTTATTCTATTTTTACACCGAAGTTGTATG